TCGAGGGAGCAATTTTTATGGTGCTCCATATTTTTTTTGTTGCACAAATCGTCAAGTTTTATTGCAGTTTCGCGTTCAGCAGGCTGAGAAGAGATTCTTAGAACTATTTTGAGCGCATAGATGTGGCGATGACACTTTTTACTGGTTGTTTAAAATTTAAATATGAAGTGCGTCTATTTGTCTTTTAGTCGAGGGAGCAATTTTTATGGTGCTCCATATTTTATTTGTTGCACAAATCTTCAAGTTTTATTGCAGTTTTGCGTTCAGCAGTCTGAGAAGAGATTCTTAGAACTATTTTGAGCGCATAGATGTGGCGATGACACTTTTTACTGGTTGTTTAAAATTTAAATAAGAAGTGCGTCTATTTGTCTTTTAGTCGAGGGAGCAATTTTTATGGTGCTCCATATTTTATTTGTTGCACAAATCTTCAAGTTTTATCGCAGTTTTGCGTTCAGCAGGCTGAGAAGAGATTCTTAGAACTATTTTGAGCGCATAGATGTGGCGATGACACTATTTCTGGTTGATTAGAATTTATATAAAAAGTGCGTCTATTTGTCTTTTAGTCGAGGGAGCAATTTTCTTGGTGCTCCATATTTTATTTGTTGCACAAATCTTCAAGTTTTATTGCAGTTTCGCGTTCAGCAGGCTGAGAAGAGATTCTTAGAACTATTTTGAGCGCATAGCTGTGGCGATGACACTTTTTCTGGTTGATTAGAATTTATATAAAAAGTGCGTCTATTTGTCTTTTAGTCGAGGGAGCAATTTTCATGGTGCTCCATATTTTATTTGTTGCACAAATCTTCAAGTTTTATTGCAGTTTCGCGTTCAGCAGGCTGAGAAGAGATTCTTAGAACTATTTTGAGCGCATAGATGTGGCGATGACACTTTTTCTGGTTGATTAGAATTTAAATAAGAAGTGCGTCTATTTGTCTTTTAGTCGAGGGAGCAATTTTTATGGTGCTCCATATTTTATTTGTTGCACAAATCTTCAAGTTTTATTGCAGTTTTGCGTTCAGCAGGCTGAGAAGAGATTCTTAGAACTATTTTAAGCTCATAGATGTGGCGATGACACTTTTTCTGGTTGATTAGAATTTATATAAAAAGTGCGTCTATTTGTCTTTTAGTCGAGGGAGCAATTTTCATGGTGCTCCATATTTTATTTGTTGCACAAATGTTCAAGTTTTATTGCAGTTTCGCGTTCAGCAGGCTAAGAAGAGATTCTTAGAACTATTTTGAGCGCATAGCTGTGGCGATGACACTTTTTCTGGTTGATTAGAATTTATATAAAAAGTGCGTCTATTTGTCTTTTAGTCGAGGGAGCAATTTTTATGGTGCTCCATATTTTTTTTGTTGCACAAATCGTCAAGTTTTATTGCAGTTTCTTGTTCAGCAGGCTGAGAAGAGATTCTTAGAACTATTTTGAGCGCATAGATGTGGCGATGACACTTTTTACTGGTTGTTTAAAATTTAAATAAGAAGTGCGTCTATTTGTCTTTTAGTCGAGGGAGCAATTTTTATGGTGCTCCATATTTTATTTGTTGCACAAATCTTCAAGTTTTATTGCAGTTTTGCGTTCATCAGGCTGAGAAGAGATTCTTAGAACTATTTTGAGCGCATAGATGTGGCGATGACACTTTTTCTGGTTGATTAGAATTTAAATAAAAAGTGCGTCTATTTGTCTTTTAGTCGAGGGAGCAATTTTCTTGGTGCTCCATATTTTATTTGTTGCACAAATCTTCAAGTTTTATTGCAGTTTCGCGTTCAGCAGGCTGAGAAGAGATTCTTAGAACTATTTTGAGCGCATAGATGTGGCGATGACACTTTTTACTGGTTGTTTAAAATTTAAATAAGAAGTGCGTCTATTTGTCTTTTAGTCGAGGGAGCAATTTTTATGGTGCTCCATATTTTATTTGTTGCACAAATCTTCAAGTTTTATTGCACTTTTGCGTTCAGCAGGCTGAGACGAGATTCTTAGAACTATTTTGAGCTCATAGATGTGGCGATGACACTTTTTCTGGTTGATTAGAATTTAAATAAAAAGTGCGTCTCTTTGTGTTTTAGTCGAGGGAGCAATTTTCATGGTGCTCCATATTTTATTTTTTGCACAAATCTTCAAGTTTTCTTTTAGTTTTCCGTTAAGTATGCTGAGGAGAGATTCTTAGAACTATTTTGAGCGCATCGATGTGGCGACGACACTTTTTGCTGGTTATTTTTCCCTATACATTAGCATTGGGTTTTAGAAATCAATTCCTATATGATATAGTAAGAAGAATGAATTTATTGGGAGAACTGATTTTTTTTTTAAATAAACCGTTTGGTATGTGAATTTTCTAATATAATTTTTGCCTCGAAAACTGCGCGATTAATAGTGATAAAAATTTCAAATACTCACGTTTATATGAATCTCCAATTAATTAATTAAAAATAAAATCATAAGGTAGTTGACGTAAAAAATATACATTTATCTCAACGGAAAAGGAAAGTGTAGATTTCATAATCTACAGAAATTTAATCGGGACTAAAAAAATAAAAAATAAATTTCAAAAGAAGATCTTCAATAATATAATTAAATAAAATTGATAATTTTTAGCAAATTTTTTTTCCTAAACCTGATGAACCTTCTCTCATCTTTAAAAATGATTGAAAATCTGATTACATGACATTGAAATCCTGAATTGTTTAAGCAATTTTATAAAAAGAAATGTGTGAAATGCGATAAAAAAAAAAAAATAAAGAATCTCATTTCTTTCTGTCATCCCCCGCTGCAAGTCGAAGTTTATTTGATCAAAAGTCTGGCCGTGTTTTTTTTTTTTTTATTATTATTATTTTCGCGGTGTTTGCACAGAACAAAAACCAACATTATCTCGGTGGAAGGCGATGCGCCTGGAATCGATTTTCGGAGATTAGAATCCGTGCGTGGAGGAGCATTATGGTCTCGACGGCGTTCTTATTCTCTCTTGAGAAATTCGGGTGTGCATCTCGGAGCTATTTCCGACGCCATCACTGCGATAATGAGAAGACTCGAGCGGCCCAGCCACCCACTTTTCTTTCACGCAACACACCGCTCGAGAGCAGCCCTTCTGCGTCATTGAGTGCATACTCAAATGCGCCTCTATTAGGGCAGATCAAACGACTCCAGATATCGACCCCGACGCGTTATGCCACCTCAAGTTACTTCAAGGCCTGCTTAAAGGCTTTGCCTCCCCGGAAAGATATTGGCCCACAAGAATGGGTGATTGATATGTAACAATAACAAAGCCACAAAACTTCATGACAAATAAATAAAATAATTTTAAACAAGCCTAAATTTATTAAGTTAAATATCACAAATTCGTCTTTTTTATTAAAATTGCTTTTTATTTAATGATTTCCTTTTTGTCTTATAATTTAAAAATTTGTTTAGTTATTTGCAAATTTGCGTGTAACCTGGAGAAATCTAAAAACTTGCCTTATTACATTTTAAAATTCATGTATATTTTGTTCACGTTAATGGAATAATTCTCTGTAGATCAGTCATAATTGAAAATAGAGACAATAGAATAATCGATCAAAAAATCAAATTATTGCAACCAATTATCGCATAAATATATGTGTATAGAATTATATTTGTATAAGTAAGTTTTGAATTATTGTGCTCTTGCTGAATTTCATTCTCCCTGATTCTGTGTTTCATTTAACCAAAAAAATTTAGTGAAACATAATATGAGACTTTCTAAATTCTCCCAAAAATTTGATTCATTTGATGATGAGCTTTTTAAATTTTAGAAATGTAGAATTACGGGGAATCAAATTTCAGTCTATTTTTCTTGCTAATGAAATAGGGTTGCAGACTGTGACCGAAACTGGTAGAGCCGTCTTGATTTTGAACAATTTTTAATAAAAATAATTTTTTACAAAAAGGCCGAGTTCTTCACTTCCAGTCTATCTTCGGTGGTTTTTCTGTAATGTTATTTTATTTCTATAGAACAAAAAATTCCTCCAAGAAAAACGTACATTCAATTTATTGTTTTTCAACCCTTGACAAAAAAAAATATAATAAAACGCAACTATTTGAGCAAAAAGTTTGTAGTTATTGAGACGAGCAATGATTGTGATTTTTATTAAATTTAATTAATTAGTGTGATTTTTTTATTGCTTTACTTTGGAAGATTTTCAATTTAGTTTACGCGCCAATGATAATTTAAAATAATTAAATAAATAGTTACAACATTATCTTACATATTTTTCAAGATTTTATAGTGAAAATTGAATTTTTAGCAAATTGCAATTCAATGTGTCTCCTTTGTAAAAGAATCACCAATATGTTTCTTCTGCTAAATTTGCAATTAATATAACCTGCTTTTAAAAAGGACCAAATACCAAGCGGGCTTTGTCGTTTAAGGAGTCGTGCATACACAATTCTTTTGTCCGGCCACAACACACAACTTCTTGTTCTCTGGCTCGCTTGTTCATGAGAAGAAACAGCCCTTCTTCGGCGTGCTTTCACATTTTTCGCCTCTAAATGGAAATTTTTAATGAGCTTGTCGAGGAGAGCGCCGTGTTATTTTCTCTCTCGCCGCAAAATGTGTGTGTAGTATTTTTTTCACGGTCTGGCTGAGCATAATGCACCTGGCTGGAGTGGAGAGAGGCTTATTCGCTTGTTCCATTGAGGGCGAGCACATTGTGCAATGAAATGTGTGAGGGTGGCTAATTATCACGGCGTCGCGAGCGCAAGTGTGTTTTTTCTCCGTCTCCGCCCGCTTTTCATTTCCATTCATTGCATTCACGCGAATTTCCCTTTTCACTCTCCCGTCGGAGAGCAAATTAGCAAAGAGCAAAGCAAATTTCGCTCTTTTGACTCAAAGAAATTAAAGAAACTGCGAGGCTTTCTTCTTTTTTTTTGTCTCAAGAAGTGATTTAAAAAAAGAGATCAAACCAATTAATTTAATATGCAATGCTGCAATGAGAAACTAGAAATTAATTTTATAGATTAATATATTATTTTGCACTATTTGTTTTAGTTTGAGGCGAGGCCCCGGAGCAAATGTACAAGACAGCAGCGGCTACTCTGCACTTCACCATGCTGCTCTCAACGGACACAGGTACTCATTTATTTTAAATTAATTCAATTTAAATTAAATAATTAAAGTATTAAAAATGAAACACATTAGTTCCGGTTGGGGATAATTTTGATTTGATTTTTCTCCAAATATTTTTCCTATTTATTGTGGATGCAGGATTTTTTTAACTCTTTAATCTCTATTTTTCGCTTAATTTAGATAAAATACTTGATTATTGTATTTTTGCGTTTTTTTTCTACTGGACACACATACCAGGAACTAAATAGAAAAATCTAGCCTTTTTTTTCAATATTTCCATAGTTGCTTTTTAAAAAAAGTCGTTTGTCTTTTCCAAAGCCGTGTGTTTTTCTTTATCTTTGAATTGATAAGGTCAATGCATATAGAGGCTGATTTAAATTTTAAAATATTAGCGTGACACAAATTGAAATAAAAAATGGGGCCAATAAAGAAGTGCGGGTTATAGAGTTTTCTTTCCAATTTTTGCCAAAGAGTTGTCCGGCATGAGGCGCAGCATCGACGCGCTGGCCGAGCAAGTCTCGGTCGGGCTACGTGGGACAGTTCCGGTAAACATCAGGCGATCGCTGCCAAGAAAGGAGGCCGGCCCTTCGGCCGTGCGCCACCTGAGTAGGCAGCCCGCCCCATCGGATACATCCCCGAAGATCGCCGCACCATCACCCTCTAAATCCACGTCGATTAATTACAGAAGACACTCAAAAAACTCAATTGTAAAGTCCCGTTACAAAGTCGCTTAAATAACTTAAAATTACTAAACTTAAATGTTCGAGGCCTAAAGACACCCGACAAATATACTGAATTTACTAGTTTTATACATGGCTTAAAAGAACGTCCAGATATAATTATTATTACAGAACATTGGTTAGATTCACATGAGGTAAAAACTTTTTATCTGGAGGGATTTGAGTTGTTAGCCTATTTTGGAAGAAGTAAAAAGAAATATGAAAGAGGTGGGGTTCTAATCCTAAAAAATAAACTTATGAAAGGCTCAACTAAAATAGTTAAAATGTTTTCTAGGGAAATGTTTTTTGAATTCTGCGCAAGTAAAATATCTGTCGGGTCTGAAAATATTTATGTTATTGGTGTTTATCGCCCAAGTAATCCAAGAGCAAATGCAATAGTTCCTGAATTTTTAGAACATTTAGACAATGTACTCATGCAATCCAGATTTAGTGGTCACGTAATTCTAGCTGGGGACTTCAATATTGATCTTCTCTGTGATGATCAAAACAGCACTAAATTAAAAGAGATTACTAATTTTCACAACCTGCACCTGTTGAATGAAAAAAAAGTAACTAGGGCAAATGTAAATGGGGGTACACTTCTTGACCATGTATATACTAATTTTAATTTGGAAAGCACTTTTAAAATAATTCCAATGACTTTTTCTGATCACTGCGCAGTGTATGCGTCGATTGCACTGCCAGTCGAAAAACTTAAAGATACGTTTAAATATGTTAGATGTTATACTGATGAAAATTATCAAAAATTTAATTCCTTGCTTGAACTTGAAAGCTGGGATCAAGTCTATAAGGCTTGCTCAATTGATAGTAAAAGCGAGGCCTTTATGAACATACTCGTAAGATACTTTGAGATCTCTTTTCCAAAAAAACGTATTACACTAAGGGCTAATCAAACTGGGAAAATTAATTTATCACAAGAAACAAAAAATTTACAAAAGCAGATGATTGAACTTAGCAAAGAAATAAAAGCTAACATGGATCAAAATCTTAAAACTGATATGAAGCAAAAATTAAAACGTATTAAGAAGGAAGTTATAGATAACATCCAAAAGGAAACAAAATTAGTAAATGGCAATAAAATATTAAAGGCAACAAACAAATCTAGCGCAGCATGGAAATTAATTAATACTCAATGTGGAAAAAACAAAAATGCAGAATTCATTGAAAAGTTAACTGTAGATGGTGCTAGTGAAACAATCAAATTAAATATTGCTAATTGTTTGAACAGTAAATTTGTTGAGCCTGAACCCGACACTAACAGTATTAATTTAAATAATTGCTCAAAATTACCGGATGAAGCTTACTGTATGGCACAAGGTCTTGAGTTAATGGATGAATTTGAAGTGTATAGTATTATCAACAATCTTCCATCTAAAAAATCGTTTGGTTGGGACGGAATCTCAACTACTGTCTTGAAAAAGATATCTATGCTTATTACAGTTCCACTCACCTATCTGATAAACCAGTCCTTCCTGGAAGGGAGATTTCCCGACAATATGAAACTAGCTAAAATTACTCCGTTATTTAAAAAAGGCGATAAGGAAGACCCAGCTAATTATAGACCAATTTCAATTACATCGGCAATATCTAAAGTTTACGAAAAATCCTTCTTGCACAGACTTGAAAGTCACCTGAATGTCAACAATATCTTAATTCCCGAGCAACACGGTTTCAGGAGAGGAAAAAATACTGTAACTGCGCTCTATAGCTATGTGACCTCATTATATGAATCGGTTGAAGCAAGAGAGAAAGTAAATGTAATTCTGTACGACTTCTCAAACGCGTTTGGAACTCTGTATCCACCTCTGCTCGTGCATAAGCTAAAACAATACGGCCTACATAATAACTTGCTCTCGTGGCTCAATTGCTTTTTGACCAATAGGAAACAATTTGTACAGCTCAAAAATCTTGGTTGTGATAGATATGAAGAGTATATAAACTCAGATGTGTTAGAAAGTAATATGGGTGTGCCCCAAGGAACAGTTCTCGGGCCAATTGGTTTCTCTATGTACTTAAATGATATTCCTCTCGCTGTTTTTTTGGCCCTTCTGATCCTCTTTGCAGATGATTCTACGGCGATTGTTAAGGGAGGATCATTTTCTGAAGTAAACACAAAAACAGTGGCAGTAAACGATAGTTTTACCAGCTTTGCTAACGACAATTTTCTAAGAATCAATTCCAAAAAAACCAAAATATTGCAGATTCACACAAGTCAAACGAAAAATATAGTCCAACCTGTTATCAATATTCAAGACCAAGTTATAGAAATCTCAAAGACCGGCAGACTCTTAGGAGTAGAAATAAATGATACCTTAAATTGGAGTGATCACTGCGATAGGGTTGTTAACAAACTTAGAGGTGTCTCCCATATATTTACTAGGTTAAAATATAAAGTGTCAGACGATATTCTTAAACTGATATACTTTGCTCATGTACAGAGTCATTTAATGTATAGTATTGTGATCTGGGGAGGTTCTTGTCATCTTATAAAAGTATTTCGAGCACAAAAAAGAGCCCTGAGAGCTATGGCTGGCGTCCGATATTGGCGATCAAATGAAGCGCTGGACACATGTAAACCATTATTCTCTAAGTATAATATTATGACTGTGCCTTCTCTGTACATTCTCGAGTGTATTAAATTTCTAGTGCAAAACCGCAGGCTATTTCAGAAATATAGTGATAACGAAGATATGAGGAGGGTAACTCGATATAATCAAGTAAACATTTGTGATAATGATCTGATTGTGAAGGAAATTAAGCTAAAAAAATCTGTTGAAAATCCCGAGTTTATGATACCAAGAATATTTAATGCCTTACCTGTAACATTGAAAATCCTCGAAAGTGACGAGGTCCTTGTAAAGAAGGTTAAATCTTTTGTACAAGAACATCAATTTTATGACCTGAACGAGTTTTATCGTTTGAATAATGTACTGTACTCTGACTTATTTTAAAAAGTTTTTGTTACTTGTAGCAATGCTTAACAAAATAAAACATATTGAATACTTGAATACTTGAATACTTTCATCTAAGTTCATCTCACTTTTTATTCCCAATCAAACTTTCATTTTCAATGCAAAAAATAAATGTTTTGGTGTTTCCTTACAATATAACAACCTTATATTTTACATTTTTAAACACGATACAAATATCATAAAATATGTATGTCATCGAGAATAAAAAAAAAAAATTATTCATTGGCTAGATCTTATGCTTATTTTTCTTTTTGGCGAGAAGCTTTACACAATTTTGCTTTTTAAATAAAAATACTCTCTTTTTTTTGTCACTTAGGGAGGCGGTGGAGCTTCTGCTGGCGCACGAGGCGTCGGTCAACATTGTGGACAGCAAAGGGTCGTCCCCTCTGCACCTCGCCGCGTGGTCCGGCAACGAGGACGTCGTCCGGCTTTTGCTGTGCCGCGGCCCGTCGGTCCCCAAAGTTAACCTCACTGTGAGTAAAGCGTCCTTTCATTCATCCTCCATTCACTCTTTCGCTGTTCATTTGAACGGCGCGCGCGAGTGTAATTATCTAAATGAGAGGAGCTCATCCAATTTGGAGAGTCAAAAGTTGGCCCAGGCAAAAGGGCAATATTGCTGATTAAACGCGCGCGCCCATTCACCATTTGTCCGCCCCTTGCTTCTTGAAATGAAATTTAACGAATTACTTACTCTCCCAAACAGCATTCAAAGCTCGCAAACACACAAAGTGTCCTTTTGCTGGCAAAACATCTGTCGCTCTCTTTCATACAAATAAGCAGTGCAGTTGTTGCAATTTCGCAGTAGTTTGCTGCAAGTGAGCATGTATAGGGGAGGGGAAGTAATAATAAATCGGGACTAATTTGTTGGAGCACTCAAATTAACTTAACTTCCTTTTATAATTTGTCGAGTATTAAAAACATTAATCTTTTTACGGTGATTGGAACCAGACCGGATCCAATAAGGTAAAAGATTGAAATTTGGAAGAATGTAGGCTAATTCTTTATTTGTAAGACGACGCTTGACGAAATTATTGAAAATTTGGATTACATATTGGCAGACAACAAAGCATTGAATCAACATCAGATCCGAATCTGATCTGATAAAGTGATTAAAATTGGCAAAAATATATAATTAAATTTTCGTAGATGACACTAGATGTCAAAACTAGGCCGATTTTAATAAGTAAATTAATATTGTCTTAACATAAATTGAGGCAACAACATTTAAGCATAACAAATTATGCAGTTCTGTTATTATTATAGCTTTATTAAATTACGGAATGTAAAAACATATCATATCTCCCCAGCGACCCATCCAAATATAAATTTCAGACCTAGATTTAAGACAAGCACGACTAACTTGATTTCAGTAATAAATGCAGTTTATCACAAGCAAAAATGATTGGCTTGTTTATAATTGACTTCTCTAAAACTTCTCTAAAAACAATGTTGATTTTCGATTTAATCGAGGATTTAAAAAAAAATATTTCATTTATGGACTCTCCACCGTGATCAGTTTAGTCGCAAATCTGATGATATTTTAATTTCAATATCACCAGTTATTAATATGGCTTAGCAAGGTTCTCTAAAGCCATTCAAGATATATATGTACTGAGCGTTATTTCGAGGCTCGCATGGAGTATACAAAAAAAGGTTTAACTTTCTCACTCGGCCACCAAAATTGATGAACATTTCATAACCTCTCGCTCATTATTATTTTTAAAATTTACTTGATCTCTTTCTCTCGAATGCTTTACTTGGAGTAATTCGCTGAGATAACGTTGAAGAAAAGCATGCATTAATGTCTTGATTTTGCCACTAATTCCGCAAATTATCATTAGACTTAAAGCAAACAGAGTCCGGGTCATCAAATACTCTAAAAACATGCTGATTTTTTTTATATATTCGTGGATTTTAATAATTCAGCATTTTGCAATTCATTGGTCAAAGTTAATTAGATGTACTAAAAAATGTCCTTTTCGTGGCATTTCGCAATTTGTCAAAAATATGTCAACCTTTTGAAGCGCTTTTTCGGCGGTGTATGCTGGCCATTTTTACAGTGCATATATAGTTATTATTTCAGTGACTAGTTCAAAAGAAGCGCAGGTTCAGTGACCTTTTCTTCTTCTTCAAAAAGTTCCTGAGTGTTGCCCTTATGAGCAAATTTATCCCCAAAAGGAAGATGTCGTGAATTAAGCACAAAAATGATCATCTCAAAAGACCTTCCTTTGTCCAATAACGCCCTGTGGGATATTTCACAAAAGCGAGAGAAAATTCGCTCACACATACACATCCCTTCATTAAATTTGTCACGTGCGTGCAGCGACAGTCTTTTCCACTTTTCCAAACATATTTAGAGAGAAAATTCTCCAGAGGGTCCGGGAAGCTCACCGGAAAAAAAGACACACCACGCGCATTAAAATGTCACGCACAGGTGAAGAGCGCAAATAGAGTCGGTTCTTTTTATTTGAAAATAAAAAATCTGTATATACCTGCGTACTTTCGCTCTGCCACCTTTCAACTTTGGAAACACACGCGCTGCCTGCTAAGTATTCACGCTCCCGCGATTCTCGGGATGATAAAAAAGGAACGAGGTGCTGCATGTATGTGCAAACACCTTTATTTTCGTGGAAATGCGCGCGCGTATCTCATGCTCCAGGTGTTTCATCTCTCGTACTTCTCGTGCTTCCTTCCTTGTCAGGCGAAAATTTCATATTGTTTTAGGCGAAAATTATGTGCGGGCGTGTGGCTTTTATTTGCGCTTATTTAATTATGGCAGCGGGTTTGCCGTGTGTCGTATTTTATTAGAAACGCCTTTTTCTGGATACAGCTCATGCGTTTTCAACAAAATTTCCACTGCTCCGATCGGTGACCAGCGTTTTCCATATTTATTTCCTGAACGTTTTATTGTGAAATAGTTTTTCAGTTTTGAACTTATTAATATTTGTAAATATTATTGATTTTACGTTAAGCCTGTTTAAGGTGATTCTTCTACGGGGTTTTGGCCAAAACTAGAAATGCTGCAATGGATTTCAAATGAATCTGATTATAAAAGTTGAACTACATATTGTGTGTTAATGTTTCAAGTATAGAAATGATTTATTTTCGCCCCATCGCTTCTTTACAGGGGGCCAAAGTTATGTCCAAAGGTCGAAAACGGTTAAAAATCCATGTTTTTCTACCTTCTTATGCTCGTAACTTTCCATTTTGCAAAGTGAACTATATTTTTCTAGCTTTCGATTCGCAAGATGTTAAAGTATCCAAAAAAAGCTAAAAAAACTGTAACTCTTCTGTCATTTAATCACCGCCTGAGAAATAGCATTTATAAATGGCCCGTTAAAATTGAAAAAATTTGATTTCTCAGGGGGTGATAAAATGACAGAAGAGATATACTTTTTTTGCTTTTTTGGATACTTTAACATCTTGCGAATTGAAAGCTATATAGAAAAATATAGTTCACTTTGCAAAATGGAAAGTTACGAGCATAAGAAGGTAGAAAAACGTGGATTTTTACCCGTTTTCGACCTTCGGACATAACTTTGGCCCCCTGTAAAGAAGCGATGGGGCGAAAATAAATCATTTTTATACTTGAAACATTAACACACAATATGTAGTTCAACTTTTATTATCAGAATCATTTGAAATCCATTGCAGCATTTCTAGTTTTGGCCAAAACCCCGTAGAAGAATCACCTTAATTGTTTCATGTTGGAAGTTTACATTTTAGTGTGCAGAGTTACTTTTAATGATAAATACAATAATGATTATTAATTTTGACATCACCATACGATTTTAGTTTGTTTCATTTGACATTAAAAAACTTTCATTTAAAATCACAACTTAATGTTTTCTAAGTAGTCAATTTTTACAAATATAATATTGATATTAAATTATTTAAATAAAACAAAACACAACATATAAACCAAAAATTTTGTAATTACAAATTTAAATATTTGTATTAACTAAGCAATTAACTTTTGTTGCAGACCAAAGATAACGAGACTGCTCTGCATTGTGCGGCCCAGTACGGGCATACAGTGGTAGTTGCACTTCTTCTCGAGCACGGCTGTGACCCCAACATCCGCAATTGTCGCGGGGAGACTGCACTAGATCTCGCGGCTCAGTATGGAAGGTCAGTAATCTCGAATAATTTCTCAAATAAGTTCTGATTCATGAATAATTGACACAAATTTGATGGATCTTGTTTTGTGCTGCAGATTGGAAACCGTAGAAAAGTTGTTAAGGACCCACCCGGAGCTGATAAGGCAATATGCTGATGCGCCGCCCCGCACGGTCTTCCCTTTGACGCCTCTGCATCGTGCCAGCAAAAATGGGCACAAGTGAGTATACTGAATATTTATTATTTAGAAGAAAGAAAAACTTCTTTCAAATACATGTTGCCTTGAGCTATTGGATGTCAAAGAAAGTGACACTCGAGGGTTGAATAATGAACCAGGCTTTTCGTCAATCAAAATAAGGGCATGAAAAATTTTGGCTCAGTTAAATTGTTTGTATTTATTTCTTGAAAAGGACTGCGTGATTAGCTGAAACTATTTGTGCTGATTTTTGAGAAGCAAAAACAACTTTCTCAGCGAAGAAAATATTGGCTCACCATTTTATCACTATATTTTGACCTGAACTACTTTTCACGTTTGGAGAAATCAATCAGAAATTTGTGAAGGAAAAATTTGAAACTAAATAATGGTGCTCTACCCAAAGAGCAAATGCAATGAAAAAAAATTTTACTTTCATTCTTCTAGGTATTTTTTAAAAGCCTTCTCTTCGTTTTTGTTCGTCTCGTAAAGTCTCTTTTTGAGGCGTTATCGCGATTCTTTATCGATCTGCAAAGCCAACAAGGGTTTAATCCAGCTTGCCAGTTTTGCAAACCGCTCTCCTGCTTGGGTGGAAAGTGAAATCCAACCTGATGAAGAGGATGAGTTTCGACGTCGAGTGGCACACATACTTATCAAGTGGCAGTGCATATCGATTTTGTCATTTTGCCAGAGTTGAAAAAGCAGCCACTCTCCGAAAGTAAACTTTTCGTGGACGTCGATTTTTTTTTTAAATTCGCAAGTACTTAATATTATGAGCATCAAGTGAGTTCCCTGAAATGGTGAAAGAAGTCAAACGGTAAATATTAATAAAAATTTTGATTTGGGACGTATTTATGCTAGAGAATTTAATAATAAAAATACCACAATTAAAATAACCTCTATTTAGGCAATTTAAATTCAAAAAATTATAATAATAAATATTTCTTTACAAACTTCTTTCCTTAAAATTACTCCTCACTTTGGTAGTGGAAAACTAATGAACTCTGCCCTGCTGGCAATTTAATAATAATTCGCACACAGAGGCGGCGATTTATCAAATGCAAATGTTTTCCTCTCTGGTGCTCGCTGGGCAGAGAGCGAGCAGTTCACGCTCCATTCACCAAGATACAACAAATTGTGTTCGCGTGTATGTATGCAATTTGCCGCATGTGTGTATCGTCGTCTCGTCATTTAGTGTGTGTGTGTGTGTCGTGGTCTGCTCACCAAAGCACAATGCGCGCTAATGTCGGCAAACTGGCCGCCTGTTTGCATTAATGCTTGGCGGCGCAAAAGCGTTCGCTATTTACCAGCAATAATAACGCCCAGCCGGACGCGCTTGCGAGACGGACGCGTCCAATTGTTTGCGAAATTTGTTTATTTATGCAGTCTTTCGAAGACCGCTCGTCCGTGTGATTGGACATTGGAAACGATCGCGAAATTTGCACATCTTTCTGCGAAATGCTGAAATCAATAGAATTATGCTGCAACTCTCAATAAAAGTGTGTTTCTACTAATTATTTTTTAATAAAATAGATATTAATTTAAAAATGGCATTATTTAAATTAAGAGACTTAATTATTAAACAGCATACAAAAAATTGAGAGGATAACGGACTTTTGTCTTTGTTATTCAAAGTTTCCAAGCGTAATTAAAATTATTACCAATACTATCTACAGTCTTTGTGTCTGATTTCCGAGGATTGTGAATTAATTAGAAATAAAACAATTGTAATGGATGAAAATAATAAAAAGATAAAATTCATTACATTCTCATTGTGAGCTGTACATTGATATATGGAGTCAACTTTACCAAGAAACTCTTCCAACGCCCATGATTTATTCTAACGAGAGTGAATTAATTTTAAGATTAAAAAACTGTAACTGTTTATTCTTTATTAGTAAAATAAAAAACCAATAACATTATTATTTAATTAAATTATTTTTAACAACTTTTTTATATTTTATTAATTTTTTTGTTTATATTGGTTTTTTAGTAATTTTTATAAATAAATCATATTATTTTTCCATTTTGTATGGTTTATTTTTGCAGCAATATTTAATTTATGAATAAAAATTTGTATTAATGGTCGCATAGCACACTATGTGAAATATTAAAATTTCCTTTCCAACAAAAAATTGGTTCAAAAAATGTGTTATTTCTCCTAACAATCAATTAAATCTGATTACTAATGATGGCTATATCGCACCAAAGCTGGATGAATATTTTTATCCATTGCATCGATTTTCTTTGTTTGACTTCAGGGCGGTGGTGTTGGTGCTCTTGGAGGCTGGGTTCCCCGTGAGCGCCCTGACGCCCGCCGGCACAGCCCTGCACGAGGCGGCCCTTTGCGGCAAGTTGGAAGTCGTCAGAAGCCTGCTTGAGCACGGCGTTTCTCTCAATGCCCGCGACCAGGGCAACTTGACTGTCCTCGAAGTCCTCGCGCAATTTCCTGCGCACCTAACGCACGAAATGTCAGCACTAATAACTAGGCACAGTAAGTGCTACCCATTTAAAATTTTTTACTGAAATTTGCAAAAGAGAAATTAACATTAAATATAAGAAAATGGAAAAAAATGTATTTTGAATTAGAATATAATTAAGTGCTGAAATTTCTTGTTTCTACTAAAAAAATCAATTCACTTCAAACGAAAATTAATCGCAGTAAAATTTCACTCAACCGTTTTAATTTTTGAATTTAATCTCGTACAAATAATTCTAATTTTTTCAAAATTATTTGTCCAGAACTTAGGAAGGAAACTAATTCTGGGACGCTTCCATCTCCGGCCGTGGGTGAAGACAAAGAAAACACGGAGCCACTTCCTCCTATTCCTAGCATAGGCAGTCCCTATGAAAATGTGCGACTCACCCCCAGAGGAGGCCGAATGTCGGAATCTCCAGGCGCTTGTTCACCCTCGCAATGGAACTACTACGAACAAGAAGATCGCAGAATGTAAGTTAATAAATAAATATTTTAATTACGATATAGAAATTTAGGTCAAATACACTGAAATAATTTTCATTCTTGGTTTTATCAATCATTTGATTTTTGTGGACTAAAAATTTAAATTAAATAATGCGAGATTTTTTTCATTTGCATGTGATTCACGAGTATCAAGGATTGACTTGTAATGTTTAAATTTGAAATTTAGCTTTTTCTATACGAGTTTTTTTTTGCATTAATTTTCTTACTCTGGGAAAATTTTTTTTCAATTAGAAAACCATTCTAAAATTTCTAAAAAAAAATATACCACTAAAGAAATTACAACTGTTACTTCGAATATAACTTTTTTTTCAAATGCAATAAAGTTTAAGACTGGCATCATATTTACTTTCCCTTTTGTAGAACTTTGATAAATATTTTAAAGCACCGGTTCTGGTTTCACTCCTTGTAAATCGCCACAAAAATACTGCACAGAATGTCACGCATCACGCAAAGAAACTCGTCCATTGTTTTGTTTTGAATCTGATGCATTCTCTCGCTTCCAATTTGGGCGCAAACAGGAAAAACTTGTCTGACAACGGCGGCTTGCTGGCCAAGTCTCTGGACTCGAGCGGCTTCGTTTCGCGCTCGATGGAGACGAGTTGCTTCTCGGCCAAGTCGATGGACTCGAGCTACCTGTCCGAGGAGCTGTCCAGTTCTTCCAGGCTGTCCTACCAGAACCACGGCGTGCGCGACGTCGACCAGCTGAGCGTGTCCTCCAGTTCCAGCATGACGGGACCTTCGATTTCGCCCAGGGAGAGGTTTGTGCCGCCGCCCGACATGGACCGCCACAGCCACGACAGCAACTACCTGCCCATGAGTGGAAAATCGAATAACAACGCCAAAGTCTCAGTAAGTTTCTTAAATCTTGATAATAAAAAGTTTAAAATTATCGTTAAAATTGGATACATTTTTTTTTCATAAGAAGACAAAAAACGGGCGGTAATTTAAAACAATATATTATCTTTATTTTTGTGGTAGAATTTCACAATCGAGGGTTGATTCATGGTGATTTGAATTTAAAATCGGCTTTTCCTCGATGGGTTTTTGTGAGTTGTTTATTGTTTCAGAATATGATATTGTTTTTTTCTGAAACTCACAAAAACTGATCGAGGAAAAGCCGATTTTAAATTCAAATCACCCATTATCTTTATATTGAAATTGAATTTAATGAAAATGGATGGGTAACATTTTTTTACAAATTAATTATTCAACAATTTGAGACGTTTTTTGACCTCTAACTAGTTTGTTTTTGGACTGTTTTCCAGGGTTTAATCACTTTCTCAATTTTAGCTATTTTAAGCACTAAGGACTACTGTGGTCATTAATAATTAAATTTGGTCAATAAATATTTCTGCTTTTTTGTTCGTGATTGATAATTTTTATATTTAGTTGCAAAATAGTATGGATTGAGGGCTTTTGGTAGCTTAAAATTTTAATAGAATTCAGAATATTTTGTGCTCTTTTATTTCCTTACATCTGGGAAACGTGAATTCTTCTCAGATAATTGTTAATGTGCGTGTTCTGTTCAAATTAGTGTAGAGTAGTGTTTTGTTTGTGTTGTAAAGTGTAAAGCAGTTTCAGGGGTTAATTTTTTAAGAGGTTTTTCCGTGGATTTACTGAAACTGTGCGAGAAACACTTGGCTTTAAAGAATGGAATATACAAACCAAAATTTTGACTTTTAATTGAGAAATTAATGTTTAAAAATGTCTCAAAAAGTAATATTTTTGAGTCACAAAAAATCAAAATTTCAATTAAAACTCGGAAAATTAGGGTAAACAGAGCAACATAACTGGCCTGGATAGCGATTTCGCCCGATTCCAGTGCTCATCAGCAGACCTGAATGTTTTGACTCACAAACTAAGACTGCGGCAGCTGTGTAGAATGAGGGGTAGGAGAGCGAAGGGTGCATTTTTTCTCAATTAAAAGTCAAAATTTTGGTTTGTATAATCCATTCTTTAAAGCCAAGTGTTTCTCGCACAGTTTCAGTAAATCCACGGAAAAACCTCTTTAAAAAAAGTGAATTCTTATTTCATTTCATTTTTTTTTTTTTTTTTTTTTAATTTTCAGTCTTTTTGTTAAGGAATGTGAAACTCAGCGTTCCTTTTATACTAGTTGATTCTAAATCCTCTTTAATTATCCTTTTTAAATTTTTTATTTTTAGATAACCAATTTGTAAAAAAAAAAACTTAAATAATTAACAAAATTAATTATAGTTTTACTGATAGATATGTGCCCAGATTTCTTGTAACTAAAAATTCCCATGTTCTGTTTGGAAAATATTTAATTTGAAAAAAATATTTAATTACGCAATTGAAATAATTTGATTTTGAACTTTTTTGTTTCAGCCAACTCCTCCAAAAAAGCCGCCGCGACGCAACCTTTCTGTGTCACCGACGCACAACAACGAGAAGAACTACGCGTGCAGCAACTACGAGTACCTGTTCATGGCCCGCAGCGGGGCCAGCGGCGCCGGCGACGACAAAAACCTGCGTCGGGGACGCAGCACGGACCAGTACATTGAAATGCGGGCGCCGCGCAGCAATTCGGGCCTGCAGTTGCCGCTTTCGAGCAGCGTCAGCGTCGACGCCGACGACCACCTGCGCCACAAACGCAGCGACAGCGCGTGCGAAGAAAGAATCACGCACGATTTTGAACCGAACCACACCGAACGCAGACACACGACCATCGGACAGTACGAGCAGAAACCGCACAACTACCCTCGGCGCAAGTTGCGGCGCCAGTCGGACAGGCCGTACGAAAATTTTGAGCCGAGCTGTCCCGGAAACCAGGACGTGGTGCCCACGTTTGTGTCCTCGGCGTACATCCGGTTGCGGCCGTCGCAGGAAAACATGGTCGAGAGCGCCGAGGCGGCCAAGCGCAAGAAGAAGACGACCAAGACGCCGCTCAGCCCCACCAACTACAAGCAACCACCCACGCCTGACCACCCACCCCCGTCGGCCTTTGACGCGGAAAGGAGCATTTACGAGAGGATCAGACCACTTAGCCAGGTAGGAAATTAATTCTTTATTCTCCGTTCGATACATTGAAATACACAAAATCTTTCAAAATCACAAGTCAAACACAACATGAATTAATAAAACATTGAAAATACAAGTGAAGAATGTTAGTTGAATGGAAAAATGGCTCTTTGCTAGCAAACAACTTGCTAAAGCACGGCGCACTCTCCTTCGAAGAATATAGCGCACCGGCCGCTAGAGCCATATTTTGCAAACATTTGTTAGAAATCAACTTTATTAATCGTATCAAATGAATATTTTTTGTTACTTCATTTTAAGTTATGACAACGTAATTATTACTCTATTAAAATTAAATAATATAACATCTTTTAGCAGAATATTCTGCTTAATTAAAAGAAACTTTTATTCATTAAATAATTTTAATAAAATTTATTATTTTTTTATGTTTAATATTTCATTTTTACAGCAATTTTATTTTTAGAAGTCTTCCACAATATTAATATTTGAATCAATTCGAGTTATAAGATACAGTTATATGCAACTAATCAATATATTTGTTTCCCCATCAATAAACATGAATGTTTGATTAGAGTCATCAATTCAATAGTCGAGTCCTGTGTCATCATAAAATTTATGTTTTGATCGTTATATAAAAATATTCAAAATAAAAATTAAATTTGCTTGAAATTAAGATAATACATAGAAATAATATTATTTTTCTGATTTGACTGAATCAATTTACAAAAGGATTTTACCATTTGTACTTGTAACATCACATTTAATAAATTATTATAAAGCTCAGTGTAATAATAAAACTATTATAAATTTAAAGTCAGCATCTAATAAAAAGAAATCTTGAAAAAACAGGCTTATCTTTGATGCGAATGTTAAGTAAAGATATTAAGATATACATAAAAATAATCACACGATTCACCACTTTCTTACACTTTCATGAACAATGCATCACTGTAATTCTAAAAAAAACTGTATGTACAATTTTTCTCAATTGAAAGTAAGTCTGATCGAACTGGCTACTTTCTCACAAATAATTGTATAATATCACTATTTATGTAATTAAATATTTTTTGATAGAATTTAAAAAAAAATATATATTTTAACAGGATAATTGAATAGGGATATTTAATTTAATAATTAAATGTCTGAAGCTTCAATGAGCAAAAACGTTTCTGGTCAATTATTTCGATTATATTTGATATCATACAATATTAACAAAACATTTTGGCCCATTTACAATTTGAACAACATAAAAATAATTTGCTACATAAGCCACGTGAAATTGAATTTTAATTTCAAGTGCGCTGCCATTAATGGCGTGTCGAGCTGGGCAAAGCCGCGGTGGAAATTAATCACTGGCGTTGAGCCGGTTTGTCAGCGGGGGCGGCACTTTTTGGCGAACGGTTTATTCGCAGCTGGGGAGGCGGGGGAGGCGGGCGAGCGCAAATTCCATATCGGCACGCGCTTAACGCTTAACAGGAGATGAGCAGCGGCGAAATGTGCAGCCAAAGCGACTCTCTACCTTCACATTGTGCTGTGCACACATCCACACGCCGCTCATTAATGATGCATGGATTCACCGGCAAACGAGCAAATTCCCTCCCTCGGCAATGCAAAGCCATAATGTGGCGAAAGAGAGACTTTTTGTCGCACCTGCGACGAGATTCCTTCCGCACGGTCGACCTGCAAATAATTTGCTGCCGCGCGGACAGGTGCGCGAATTTACATCTGCACGAGTAATTAGATTTTCGAGATTTTTGCTTCTTCTTGTTTTCGATTTTGTTTTACTCTCGAAAGAGCAGGAAACCTCAGAGGACAGGAAGTGGAAATGTCTGCCAGAAAGGGGAAAGATCACTATTTTGTGGTCTGTGAAATGAAGCAGTCGGTCGAGAGAAGTGGTCATCAAATGCATTGTGCTCTGCGGACAAACAAATTATTGGCAAGGGAAGGAGCAATTTAGCTCAAAAACATCGAGAACATATAATAGAAAATATTGGACCGGGACATATTTTTGATGCTTTTCGGTCTGTTTTGGCCTCACCAGCTGCCATAGCAATTTTTCCATATCACTTGATCCGGGACTGGATATTGGTGGGAAAGTGGACATGATTTCATTTTAGAACGAAAACAAGATGGGATTGAACAGAATTTGTTACAATAACACACACGGCTAATGAACATTTACTTCATGTATTCATATATTTAAATCTGTGTTTGCTAAAATACTTTAACTGACATAAAAATTATTTTAATAATACTTGCAAATTAAATTTAAAACTTTTTGAATTTTTTATTTATTACTATAATTTAATAATTGATAATTTTATGTTTATTTCTTATACTTTTTATTATAAAAATTGTAGTTTTTTTTTCAAAATTTGATGATACTTTTTATACTATTTTCTTTCCAGTAAAATAATGATAATAATAATATAATAAGAAAATAATTAATTAATTAAATAAATTATAGCATTTTAAAGTAACAAATTTTATATCTCATATTTAATTACGACAATTAAGTAAGATGTTGTGCATTACATTGTATCTGAATGAAGAATAAATAAATAAATTATAGATTTCCGATATTAAAATTTAATATTGGCCCAACTCCAAATAGAAATCAATTTTAGCATTTCTTTTTCGTTCCGCCTCACAAGTTTGATGAGGCTCGGGGTTCAACTGCTGACATAATGACCCAGCTCGGGATGTTCACCTTTCAGTGACATTTAAAGAAGGGTGGCATTTGAAAAGGTCGGTCGAACTGCGCCGATTTTTGGCCCTTTGTTCGCAGCCTTGGGTCGTTTTTTGCGCAGCTCACTTTAGTTAGTCTTCGCCATGCCGTGCTCAGGGCTGCTCGCTTTGCTCTGCCTGGTGCCCCAAAAGCCCGCAGGGTCGGTCGTTAGGTGCAGGGTCGTGCCCTGGCAGAATGATAAGCGGCGACATGACATTCTGCCGTGGCTGCAAGACCTCAAAGCGCAGGACAAGCTTCCTTGGGTTAAGGTCCATATTTCGGATAACATTTTGTCACAGGGAATTATTTTCAATTTTTCAATCATTTTATTTAATTTATGCCTGAAAATTAGCACAAATGTTTTTAAATTGAGTCAGATTAATTGAAATATATTTTACGCTTTTCTTGTTTGGTTATTCTCATAATTAATTAAATTTAGAGTATTTTATAATTTTAATTTTACTTGATTCACTTTCAGCTAAAACTATATTTATTTTTATTAAGCTAAATGAAACTTTCACAATGTTTTTTACACTTAAGAAATTTACTAACTTCGGTAGCGTGTCTTATTTAATTGGACTAAAAAGCATTAATTTTAAGTCGAACTTAAAATTTAATAATGTGGACAAATAAACAATAATAATGATAATAATAAAAATAATAATAATAATCAAAATTATGTGTTTTTTGTTGAAATTGGAGATGAAATTTAGCTGAGAATAATTCTGGTTGTTTCAGGAGTACAAGAGGCGTTCGAAGGACATTGAGACCGAAACGGACGAGGATGTTCTTTACTGCTCGTTCGGAGCGTCGTCAGGGTCACTTTCGAGCAACCTCTCGTCAGACAAGAGCATCGACTTCGTGGAAGAGTTCGTCGGTGACGCGCCTTTTGCCGGTGAGTCTCTCGATTTTAATTTTATGACGCCGAGCGTGTGAGAAACCGCGGCAATAACAAGTTTAGCGAAGAATCCCTTTGAAAATGACTTAATTGGCGGCCGATGTTCACTTTCAAAGGGACCCCAACTCGCTCGTTACCGCAAATTGTCGCGCCCGCGCGCCGGATTTGTCCATTTATGAAAATCACAGGGCACGCGTCTGAGCAATAACCCCTTCCTTCATCAAAATGCAATTGAGAGGAGGATGCACGTGACTCAAAAAATGAGCCTTTTATCGCCTCTCCTCCCCCGCGGCGGCGGCGGCGACGACTAATAAGGCATTCCCTCGAAAAGATTTTAATTAACTCATTATTATTCGCGCGGCGAGGGCGACTCTCCTTTCAACGTGTTTTTTTTTTCTCTTCTTTTACTTAACTTTACTCTCCTTTAACTTTGCATGCACATCAAAAAATCCAATTCCCGCCGTGTACTTTGCATACACTCTACATTTTTGCTTTTCAAATAAAAATCGCGGCTGAAAAGAAATGTGCTCGTAAAGAGGTTCTTGAAATTATGACTCACACACGTCACCGTGTCTGGGACTGCAGACGTTGAAAAAAAGGTATTGTTTCTTTTGCTAAAAGTCAATTTTAATCCTTCGCACTTGAATAAGATTTTAAGTGACATATTAATGTGCATTAGTTCGATATATTTGTCATTGGATTTCATCAAAAGTGTAAATTTTGAAATTAATCCGGTGCTATATATAATTTTTAATTTTTTAAAATTTTGCAAATAGAAGTTAAATTTCTTTAGATAAGTTAAAGCTCCACACTGCTTAATTGAAGTAATAACACATTATTACTTTAATTAAGCAGAGTGGAGCCTTAACTTATCTAAAGGAACTTAACTTCTATTTCATTACCCTCAGTGTTCAAGTTTTTTAAATGTATTTATTGGATAAAATATTTTTATTTAAATTGATTGAATATAAACTGGTTTCAATAGCAATAACAAAATAGCAAATAAATTTTTTATCAATTAAAATAAAATAATAAATGCTTAAAATAAAATTATTAATTGATTTAATTTAGGAAAAAATACATAGTATGCATAACGTTTAATTAAATATGGTGTTAAAAATATTTTAAACAGTTAACAAATTTATTTATATTAATACTTTGTAAAGCCGAAAAAAGTGAAATTATTTTTTGAATGCTGGACCAAAACGGTGAATCACACTTACTTAAAGGTGAATGAATGACGATAGAAAACTCTCGCTTGAATAATTTGAGTACAATGCTCCTCCGGTGTCATTGTTGGTCGCTGGTGACTTCTTCTTACAATCCTTTGAGAGGGGGAAGCGCGCGGTCTCTCAGGTCGTGACTTCCTAGTCAAGGAAACGCCGAGCTCCGGTGCTCCTCTCACACTTTATTGCTTTTCTTTAGTATTGTTTTTCGAGCGCGCCGAAGCAAATGGATTTCTGTTTTGTGCCGCAGATCGCGAGTTTCAGTGAGTATATTTGTGTTGGATTTGTTTAAACCAGACTCATCCTTGGAGATCTCTTTATTAAGTGCACTACTTGTCTTAACCGAAAACTAATTAAATTTTGCTAGAATGTTCTTTAACCTACTGAAAAGGGGCAACAACATAAGCAATTTTTTCATTTTTATTTTTACTAAATTTAATGTAAAATTTAATTCAATCTAATGACACTCCTTATTACTAAAGCTATTTTTACATAGCAATATTCAAAGAAATGAATGATTTTTTTTTATCAAATTTTGCTTAAAAAATGCTCAATGATAAAATACATTTTTCTTTTTTCATTCTATTGAAAATTTGAGGATCAAGTTAAATTTTCCTTAAGTCGCATTGAAGGCGTTGTCTTGGCCAGGATTGTAAACCACCTTACTTCTTTTGTCACCGCTGGAGGCACTTTGCATGTATTACTTTTGTCAAGAGGCCGAGTTCTCTCTCCAAGCCAATCAAAATCAGAAAATCCTCCTTATTCAGCTTGGCTTTGTTGTTGATGCTTTCATTGTTCTCTAATTCCCTGTGAGACCACCGTAGGAGCTTTGAATGATAAAAATGAGGCATCTCGTCAATTTGAGCTCCGTGTTCTGTGTCAAATTGATTGATCGAGCAAAGTTGTACGAAACTCGCTTGCTTGGTAGCTTCTTTTGTGCGTCGCACCAGAGGAGAAACAAAAAATGAAATATAAGGAAATTTTTTTAAGAAGAAAAAAAAGGAAACGTATTTTTCACATATGGAAAATTCTAATTGATTCCAGTGCACAAAAAATTAACAAGAATTGTCAATGTTTTAGTAACTTTTGTCTTGTCCATAAACATTCTTGCCTCAGCATTGATACTGATATATTTAATTCCATAAAAGCAAGTTCCAAGTAATCTCCATCTTGCTTGAGGTTAAAATAAAATACGCCGCATGTTGTGTTGCACTGTAAAAAACGGAGCTTTCTTATCCGAAGCAGCAACACGAAGAAAATATAATCTCTTGAGCGACGCAGAACATTTTGCGGTTGGATCAGGTCTTGACTGCTTTTTATTTATACTGATTCGCGACCCAGTTTTTGTATTCGGCTGCAGTATTGCACTGCTTTAATCGAAATTCAATCTCTCCTCGATCTACTGGATCTGGATCAAAAACAGTTACGATTACCGGTTTTAAATGAAAGCAAAAAATTGAAACCGCAGATTTCCTTAAAAGGGATAAATTTACGCCTGTTCATACTTTGAAGACGTCATTTTCATATTAAATTTGTGGCAAAATACTTACGTCAGAGAAAGTACATTAAAATATGTAATATAATTTTTCACTAAATTTAAATAAACAAACTTTTGGTTTTTATACCAGTTGGCCAATTAAAATAAAAATCCACACGGGAAAAAATGCAATTTTTCTATTGCATTTCCTTCATTAATTTTAATAGCAGGTGAAATTTCTACTTCTTTCGAGAAAGAAAAAAAAACATTCGCACACTGAATTAAAATTAAGCAATTTTCTCACAGGAGAGCAATTTTATTCGACGTGTGTATTTTTGAGGCAGCTACTTAGTAAGTCGATTAGTATGTTGGGTGCATTACAAGGAAGGAAGTTAGTGGGCCTGGCTGGCTAACTACTGTTTTATCCTAACAACACTGCGGAGAGGCGTGCGAACAAGCCGCGTGACGTAGCCCTGTTTTTATTTACTTCGAAAATACTCCCACTTTTGATAAGCCATATACAATGGTTTAAAATTCCCATCGGCCCCTCTATTATTTATTTCAGTCGGTATTTGGCCTCACTGGCGCAAACTGCAAACATTTCGCTGCAATTTCCTGGTGCATTTCAATTCAAGGTTGGCACTTCAGCCTGCTCGGCAGTGGCAGCAGCACCGAGCAGTGGTTTATCTTATCACACTTAGCAGTTGTTGCTGCTGCTGGTTTGTCAAAGTTCTGGGTCGACTGTAGCGTTTAACAGGAAAAGTCATTTTTCGATCCTTCCAAATGGGAACGGTGAGATCATTTGTGTAGAAAGTGGTCGGATCGAGGCGCTCATTATTCAATTGTTATGTCTCAAGGTAAGCGTGATTATTTGTTACTTATCCACTCAACAAACACCCACATTCCAACTCTTTCCTTCTGCTAATTTATATAAATCCGTACGATTACACGAAGTAATTTCTCCCGCTCCTTTAAATGGGGTCGACGATCTTTCCCAATAGCTAAGAATGCAATTAAGATGATTGACTTTGTAACTCAGCCCAGGCCGTGACTGTGCAGTGATTGATTTATTACTCAAATTGGTTGCGAAGGTTAAATGCACTTCTCTGATTGTTGTCGTTTACAGCGTAATAGCAACTGATTAGGAGGAAGAGATTATTATTATTATTTTTTGTATTGTCGAAAGTAGCCATTTAAAGACGAGTCACTCGGGTTGATTCTGTAAGCTTATCAGGTGCAAAAGTTGGTTGCGTCGTGAGTCGTGAAATTTATCAAGGTTGTAAACCATTATCACTCAAACAGCAGTAACGCGTGTCGCGTGTTAGATAATGGGTTAAATTCTGCGCTTGAATTTAATTTAATTGGTCGATATTTGAGAGGACGTTGAAAATAGAAAATTGTTAAAGACGAAGGATGATTTTTTACTCTGGGAGACATAATTGTTGGTTGTTTATTTGTCCACATTTTTACAATACATTGTTTACGTACAATTGTTGAAAACAATGTAAACAATAAAGGATTTTTTTTATACAAATGGCATGACCACTAGTAATAAACTTTGAAATATATAAGTTTTGAAATTTATATTTAATGAAAATTTGGACAGGGCGAGATCATGAAATATAATTTGCAGCAGAAGTCGCATAATTTTTGTTGAAGTTAAGAACCTATTTTTCCCTTTTGTTGGTATTCAAACAATTTTCATAGTTTTCTCAAGGCTACCCCGGAAGTAAAATCTTATCAAGGGATAAGTTTCCTCTAATGTCGCAATCAAGAGACCATAAAAACAACCAAAGAATAGCAGCAACTATAGTTATCGACTAATAATATATTCTCTTTTCCTGTAATGCTTGTTTTTCTATCAAAAATATGTTTAATTTTTAATTATATATTACATTAACAACTTGGTTTCCGATTAATGATACACTGTTTTTTTACATACTTTTTGTATTCCATCTCAATAAAATTATTTTATGCTTTGTTAATACTATTTATTTTAATTATTTATTTTAATACCATTTTTGGTATTTTTACATATATATGTGATCTTTGAATATATAAGAATAATTTAAATTTTTATAAAAAAAATGAAACTAGTTTTAAAAATTACAAAAATTAAAATATATTACTTTGTATAATTTGATAAAAATTTGTTTTTAAAATTTAATTTCAACAAAAGAGAATTTTAATTTTTTTTAACTCCTTAAATCATGACTTGTTAAATGAAGTTAAAAGTTTTCAAAAATTAAAATTGAAAAGGCTTGTCTTTTGCCTTTAATAGTGCATCATTACCGAACAAAGCGCGCACGTCAATTTTACTGCCGCGACATTTACGATGTAGTCATAAATTAGGCGCCTGCGTCAAGTAGTGCTTTCGTCGGGAGAGGCGATTGTTTCATGGACCGGGCGAAATTCTCATATAAATTGTGATGCCGCCAAGGGCCATATGGCGGCGTTATTAGTGTTAATTAATTAAACCCATCTGCTGATCGAAACAAGAAGTTTTATTATTGGTTGGAGAGGCGAGTGTAGAAGCCGTAAAACTCTCTTTCATGCCGGGGCACAACATGACATTACAAGAAGAGAAGACGCGTGACCCGAGTGCCAAACGCTGTGCGTCGCCCATCTCCATATAAATTACAAAATAAAGAGGAAATGATGGCTTTTTTAAGTATGCTAATTTTATTACCCCAACTAACGAACGACTCGCTCCGGGTGAAAAATAAAATTTTCCAGCGTTATATTTTTTTCCCCGTTCCAATCAAAGCGGATTTGCGGAATGATTTCTTTTGTTCTTTCGGGAATTGCACTCGTGTGTACGCACATTTTTGTTCGGAGGCAGTGGAAAAAAATCGAAATAATGACGCTCAAGCGCCGGCTTTGTGCAAGTTGATTAAGAGTTAATGGGATTGTTTTGCAATTGCTCTCTCGTCGCACGGTGGCGGCGAGCGCGCCGGCTCGAAAACCTTCACAATGCTGGGAAAATAATTGAGACCAATTAAACTTGAATTGCACCGTGGTTCTTTTTTTTCGCTTTTGGCTCTCAAGTGCACTCCAGCAGAACGCTCGCGCTCATATCAATTGTTTCGCATAATTTGTTTTATAAATCATATTATCATATTTTTTCATGGAAATCTACCTCTTTGTTGAAGAATAAAAGAGAAATTGAATAGAGATAAAAAAAAAATATGATATTAAGGGAAAAAAAGCTAATTTATTTGCAGAAAATTGCAATTTAAAGAAGTTTTACAACAACGAAGCACTTTTTTGTAGAAATTCAATTCATTTATTCTCTCGCAACAAGTCAAACAAAAATAGAAAAAATTAGTTTTAAATCAATTTTAATGCGTTTTCTGATCTTTTTGTTCCAGGCTTACTCAAAGGGTCGGTGCCGACCTCCAAAGTTGAAGCCATGTCCGTCGATTTCAATAGGCCGCTCGAGAGGCCAAAGACTTTGAAGCAAATCCAAAATATCTACGAAACGCCAAAATCTGAGGACATGGACAGCGACGACATCAACAGGAAAGGGTCGCAGGGGCCAACGGACAAAAGTCTGTCCATCCTGAGTCCCTTCGACGAGCAGGAGGAGTGGGCAAAGATTTCAGAAATTATGGCATCTTTTGGCACTGGGCTTGTTAGGGAGTCAGTTTTCGTCACCGAACTGGAACAGGAATTTCAAACAAGATTAGGTGAATACAAATTTTGATTAAATTCGCATATAAAACCTTTTTAAATTAAATTTATAGACTGGATAATCCTTTTTCATTAAAAACTCTGATTATAGTTGAAAAATTACAGAAATTCTAAAATATTCAAAATAACTAAATAACTAAATAATAAAAGTATTTGTTTTTCTTGGAAAAGTTTAAATCTAACATAATTTTGAATTGAAATTAAACATTTCATTGTCTAGAGAAAATTTTGAGCGAATTTGAGGTAGGCTTAATATTTAAAAAAATTAAATTTTAAAGAATATAATTCAATTTAACAAATTTTTTTACTTATGAAAGCAAGAATATCACTTTCATTTTATTGACAAGTGACCCTAGTGACACGCATATCTGATGCAAAATAAATATTTTCCCACAGGGCTCAGCAAGCAAGACAGCCTGACCAGTCCAAGTGCACCTCCTCCACATGCCTCTGTCGGCGAGTGGCTCAGAAGTATTGACATGGCCAAGTATGAGAGGGCTTTTGTCAAGCACGGCTTTGATGACATCAACTTTATTGTGAGTAGCTCCCTTTCACAAAGGACAAAGTTCTTCAAAGTCCATCCAATATATGTATATATTTGTCTGCAAATCTAATTTTCATTTAATTCCAGAACGGATTGATTCAGCCTCCCGATCTGATTCGCTTCGGCATCACCAGTTCGGAGGAGACGTCAAAAATCATCGCCGCCATCAAGCAGCTGCCGGACAAGCTGAAGAAGGTTGGCAGCAACGGAGAGAAAATCCCCGATTCGGTGCACGTGTGGCTCAAGTCGATTCACCTGGAGCACTACGCCGAGACCTTCCAGAAGCACCTGTTCAGCGAGTTCCAGAAAGTGATGCGCGTATGGGACGAGGAGTTGACCACAGTGCTGGACATTGAGAAAATCGGACACAGACGGCGAATTTTAGCTTCGGTGGGAAATGAGGCGGCCCTCAGTGCAGACCTTGAAACTACCATTGACGCCTCAATCAAGGTAAGAAAAAAATAATTATTTGCCAAATTCAACAGATAAAATGCAATCAACTAACAAGAAAAATGCTTTAAAAAATATCATTCATTTTTTCTTCTTTAATTAAAATTAGAAGAAAATAAATTTAATTTAATAATATCATTCAGATTGGAGATAGATATTTATATATTATTTTAAATTTAAAAAAAAAAATTTCAGCATAAAAAAATCTAAACGATTTTTACATATGCATTATTTTCAATTTTAATTTATAAAAAAGTGTGATCCTTAAATTTTATTGCATTTTCTAATATTTTATTTAAATTTCAATTTGAAACGTCCTTCCTTTGACTAGAATTTGAATTAGTGAAATTATTCAAGTGCGAAAAACCCCTACTTGATTTCGGAGCTGACAGAGAAAATTATGGATTATGCGGTTCTGTTTTCACCGAATAATGAAAAACACCCCCTCGCGATGCTGCATTGTCGGTTATTATTGCAAGAGAAAAAGCTCATTTTTCTGCCCCCTTTTTTAATCTTTCGGGGTGTATTATTGTTCCCCTGCGGCTCGTCGGCGGAGCGGAGGAAGAAAAATTCCACACCCCAACCAACAATATCCTCCACCATTGAAATTCATCGCAGGAGCATTTTTCTTTTTTTTTTGTATTATTATTATTTCTCGATGAAAAAGGGATGGGTGTGTGTTGTGTGTGTGTGTGTGTGTTTGATGCTGTAATTCTGGGTGCACCGGCTCGGGTCTGGCAGCCGCGCCTGCCGCCGCCACCGAGCGCAGTGTCCGCGAATCAGCCAAGTGTTGCGCACCAGTGCACCGCCAGTCATCAGCAGCTGATCTGTTTAGGCCGCAGGCACTCGCAGCTCAGCATCACAGCCACCCACCCCCGACAACCCCCGGCAGCCGCGCGCATTCAATCATCCAACCCCGCAGTCCTTTTGAATTTTAATACTCGCTGCTCTGCCCGCGGAAAGCTGCTGCTGTCTGTATATTTTCGCTTCGGCCGCGAAAATCTCCATCCACCACCAATTACGGGGATTAATGCCAGATTTTAGCGAATTCCATGGGTTTTTTTTACAAGGAAAAAACTAAAATTTTTGTGGTACAATTCCACGATGGAGGGTTCGACTTTAAAAATCAGCTTTTCTCGACCACTGCCAAGAAAGCTCATTCATGAATTAATTATGCAGCCTGCAGTTGATACGTGTAAAGCAGGATATTGCTTTTTTTCCTTTTTTCTTAAACAATAAACAACTGATTAAACATGTAAATGAAAGCTCATTATGATAAATTCAAATCATTATTATATTATTTTATTTTTACACCAAAACAAAATGTTTTTTTATAATGTTTAATAATATTTTTATAACAATTTATTTGAACTTTTTCGTTTGATTTTGTTTTTTAATTTAAATTTGTTAGCATCTATGTCGTAATTAAGGTAAAGAATTTTACAGGAATTTTAGAAATAAAATTAATTTTTTATTTTACATATAATTTTGCTTCCTTCTTTGTAAACAATTATTTTATAAATTAAATATTGATTGGGCTAAATAGGTGTGAGAAAAAAAGTATTGAGATTTTAAATTGAACCTTTTAATTTTCTAAAATGAGCTACAGAAATCAGAAGTTAAGGATGGAGAACAATATTTATGATTTACCAAAGTAAAAAAACATCTGTTCTTTGTATTGCTCAATCTATCACATTATTTATTACTTGCAAACTATGAAATCCGTTTTTGATAGATTCATTCATATAATATTCAGATAATCAATAACAATGCAGTTACCATTTTTTTGTAACAACTCTAGTCCAATGTAATTTAAGAAAAATGTTCATCATTTTCCTCCAAAATTGAAATGTTTGGGAAAATGTGTGTCATGTCATTTGATATTAAATATATTTTTCCATTTCTTTATATTATAAGTAATGAAAATTGTACAAAATTCAAAATTTTTGTTTAATCAAACTATACATTATTTCCCTCCATTTCTTCACTACATAATCCATCAACGTCTCTTCGAATGCCAAAAAATATTCTTCACTCAAATAAAATAGTTGCAAATGATATTTATTGATCAGAGGCAAAATATAATATGTAAACTTTAAATTATCCTTAATGTGCATTTTTGATGGGGAACGTTTCAGTAAAAATTATTTCAGTGTAGGTAGTGCAAGCTCCTCGTTAATCCATCCATATTACATAAAATTTAAAATCTCACCCAAATCAAAGTGGGAATAATTCAGCAAAAATATAATTTAACTAATTTTCGTCCCTAAATTTAACTCAAATTGACTGGTTTTTGTAATATTTCAAATTTTCACTCGCTTTAACGAACAAATGAATCAAAGTAGGGGAGGAAAATATAAAAATGCAATAAAAGAAATAAAAAATGATGGCTTTTGCTTCGACAAATGGCCCCCCGTTGGGTACGATTTTCCCCCCATAGGGATCAATAATTGAATATCGTGCGCGTCTCTGTCTGTTTCTCTCTCGTTCACATTCCAATTCCAATCTGCGGTGAATTGCAATTGATTCCGCGCTACTTGTTTCTGTAATTAGCCCCCGGAGGAGACGCCCGGCGGCACCACAAGCAACACAGGCACCCTCCGGCACAGCAAGAAGTCGCGACCCGCCCCTCCGCCCCCGGTCGCCGCTCCCAGGGTCCCCGCCGCCAACGGCACGGCCGCCGAACCCGCTGCCAAGGAGGCCAAGGAGGCCAGTGAAGAGGCCAAAGAGCAGCAGGCCATCAACGACTCCAGGGAACTGACCATCAGGGACCCCAACGAGCTGCTGGTCGGGGTGCCCTCGACCCTGACCACCCACTGGAGACACGCCCCATACGCCCTCGTCAACGGATTCGTTACTTACTCAGCACTGGTGAGTCCCAATGTGATTTTTATGTCTATATTTTAAATTGAAAAGTATTTCCATTTCAAGTTTAATGAAAATGAAAAACTTTACCTTCTTGTAAAAAAAAAAAAAATTGTTTTTATTAAAAAAATGTACTCAATATTTATATTAATTATCTTCAATTTTATATATAATTTTTTATTATTGTGTTCTTTTGTAAAATTTTTATGACCATTTTATTAAGAAATCATTTTTTTGGTGAAAAAAAAATGAATTTTGAGACAAAACTGCACCACCACCAGCAAAATGGTTTTAAGTGTATTTTTTTTAGTGTAATTTTTAAATTTGCGGTTTTTGTGTTGACAGTACTTGGGTTCAACACTTGTGAAGCAGTTGTTGGGCACCGAGTCAACGAAAAAGTCGATCCACAAGCTGAAAAAGTCGATGGTCACCCGCGACAACAAACCGCCAGAAGTCTTTCTCTCGATCTCGTACCGCGGCGTCCAGTTCCTCGAGGCGGAATCAAAAGTAAGAAGGCGAAAAAGAAAGTCACGCCCGATCGATTGATCATGTTTGTTTGTTTTTTTCTCTGTCCGGCTTTTACCAGGAGCTGGTATGCGAACACGAGATCAGGAATATCCACTGCGCCTGTCAGGACGCGGATGACTTGACACATTTCGCCTACATCACCAAGGACCACAGCACCAAAGACCATTACTGCCACGTGTTCTGCGTCAAAACCATGGTAAGAATGATAAATATACGCATGTCTTTAATTGATCGTTTTGTAGTGTAGCTACCTAGAAACTTGTTTTGATAGAAATTATCATGTTTTTAGATATTTAGCATTTAAAATTGATTTTTACTACCATTTTACCCTGAAATGAGTAAAATCAACTAGAACGTTTTAAGGACTTCTTATTGACATAGTCAAATCAAGTCCTTACAACAATATAAACAGATTTTTGCGATTGTTGAAAGACAATTGGAAATTTTAATCACCATTGTTGTAAAGACTTGATTTGACTATGTCAATAAAGAGTCCTTAAATGATTTAATTTCAAATTAAAAAACCCTACATGCTTAATATTTTTTGTTTTAATTTTTATTATTTTTGTTAAAATAAAACAATAATTTTATTTTATACAATATTTTTTTAACAAAGTATTTTTCTGCATTTTAACCTCAGCTATATTATTAATCACATTATAAGTATATTAAAATTTACGTATTGAAATATTATGAGAGTATTTTTATAAATAGTAATGCCTAGAATCTTTAGACCAAAAAACTTGCCGTAAAGCCAATCATCAAAATGCAAAATGTTTTGTTTTTTTTCTTTCATCTAATTTCAATTGCTATTATTATTATTTTTTTTATTCTTCTCGGTCAATACAAAAAAATTTAAATTGGAAAAAGGGAAGAAAGTGTTTACAACTAGCAGATCTCTTCTAAAAGAGACTCGGCCGCTGCGGTAAACCCACACTATCGTATAAAAAAAGAGAACAATATCACAAGCACTTAAAAATCTATCATGCTACTCATTTGTTGATTAATTTATATAAAAGCCAATTATTAAATATTAATTTTATCAGAACGTCATTTTTCTAAAAATAAATGAAAAAAAATCAAGTAGAGATTTTCATACAGTTTGAAGAAGTTGACACTCGAGGAGATGGTCATGGAAAATAAATGGATCGGGCCTTTTCCTCGTTTGTTTCAATTTTCTGTAACGAGGAAAAAGCCCGATCTATTCATTTCCAGGTTCATACAGCTTAAATTAATTATTTTTTTTTTTTCTTAAATAAGTAGCAAATTTAGATCAAATTTCAATTGAAAGAAATTTATCAATGGATCATGGAAATTCAAACATTTTTTTTCTATAAAATTAGGATTTTCAAAGACAACAAACTAAGTAATTAATTAATTAATTCTCTTGAGTCAAGTTTCTAATAATGAGCATCATAATCACTATTTTTAAGCAGAAAAAATTAAAAGAAATTGGATTGGTCCTGAAAATAAGTAGTCTTGAAATAGAAGAGGAAATTTGAAGTTAATATGTTTCGCTTTTGGAATTCCAGGACCTAGCGTCGCAGATAATTCTGACGTTGGGGCAGGCGTTCGAGGTCGCGTACCAAATGGCCCTTCGGGAGCAGTTCACCGGGGGCAACGGCGGCGCCAAGCCAGGACACACCCGGTCGCAGTCAGAGCACCAAATCAAGAGCCACAAACTGGGCCCCGAAGGCAACGGCCACTCAGTCAACAGCCACACGCGGTCGCACTCGATCAACGGGGTCATTCGGCCGGACGAGGTGACCTCGGGGACGACGTCGAGGCCGCCAATAGTGTTTACGGAGGACATGTGATCTTTAAGAAGCACAAGTAAGAGAGACTTCAACGGAAATCTGATCGTTCCTTATTATTTTTAATTTTTTACTCACGCGCACTCACTCACGCTCATCATAGTTAAATTTGCTCTCGATTGGCTGAAAATCGGGCCGAGTGATTCTAAAATATAATTGGGAAAAGTTTAATGATAAATACGGGCCTACTTAAGGAGATTCAACGACGCAAGTTTTGGTTTTTTGCTCAATGACAAAATCGAGGCTTTCATCTTCGGACGGTGTCGTGTAATCGTTAAGGGTGTGTTTCTACCTCCATGGAATGATTAATGATGGGGAAAAAGTGAAAAGCATAAATATTCGTACAAACCACATTAGGTGGCCAATATAATGGAATGGACAATCATTCTGTTATTTTATTCTCAGGCCAACCAGAAATTGAGAAAGATTTGCACAAACTTTCATACATTTACTACCGAAAATTCACACCGTTTTAATTTCATTTTATCTGCAAGACGGGCAAAATTGATATGGCACTAATTCATTTTAAAATTATTTCAATTTAACTCGGGACTGGAAAAGGAAGTCTTAAATCTGATTGGTATACGAAAAAAAGGACCATATCGATGTTTGCTTGGTGAATTTTGAGTTTTTTTTTCGCAGAGAGAAAATAAATAAAGTGCTTTACTTCCGAAAATATTTCCACTGGTGGAAATAAATACCGCCAACCTTTTGTGTCTCCATTGTGCTGATCGGTGTGTCCTAATGATTGTTAAATTACAAATGAATTTTCATATCATGTGTTGTTGTTGAAAGGAAAAAAAATTGGAAATTATAGCTTTCGGACCAACAAAAGTTAAGTGTTTTGTAAGTCCGCGTAACCTTCTGATGCTTTCCCTCAACCTTGTGTGTTTAAAACTCTACTCGATTCCAAATAATGTGCAACAAAAGAATTCCATATTTGAACATTGTCTACGTAAGTAGTTGTGTGTCAGTGTACCTTAATGTCAAAGAAGAAGTCGTTCAGTGATTTATTATACGCATTTAGTTCGAAAAGAACCCAATCAGTTCTTCCCACGTTTTAAGCCGATAAGTTCTGCACAAATAAATCAACCGATTTTTTTCCAATAAATAGTGTAATAATCCACGCATATAAATGAGTCACAGGAATAAATTGCCATATGAATAAAATAAAATATTCTAGTCGTGAATAAATTTTTGAGAGGAGTCGCTCATTCATTGATTCGCTTATTACATAAGTCAAAAGTCGCGAGGCCAGTCACCTTGGCCAGGTTAATTGGTCCAAGATTTATATATAAATAATGATTTTCCCATTGCAAAAGTATATAATTGCGTATATATATATATAAATTATTACAGTGTAGCTTATAACCATTTCTTATATTGATCAATAATTAAATTTAGCACTCGATTGTCACTTCCTCCTTTTTGACGAGTCATTTAAAATTAAACAACAAATCTAAAATACGCAGCGGTGCTTGCTTATATTATGCAATATAATATAAAACTATTAAGGCAAAAACTCATCACTTGTAAAATTATTATTCTCAGCACACAAACTCACGCATACACCACTTGTAAGATACATCTATTTTATCTGATTGAAATATATCGTGCTGGAAGCTAAATTTAAATACCAAGCCTGTAAATAATGTATACCCTTGTACTCAAAAGGAAAACAAAAACGTGATCAGATTAAAAGAAATCAAAGTGCAAGAGATTGGAAAGAGACCCGTATCTTAATGTACCTCTTCCTTCTGTTTTGTGAGTGCAATAAGATTCCGAGGTGTATGTAAATATTGTTGTGTAAAACCTCTTCAGGATGAAATCGATCGGTTGATTACAATTCGAAATTGAATATATATTTGAGCAGAGAAATTTGTTCCGATTTCTTTAGGGCAGACTGGTTGTGATGAAAGTTTTGCATTTGACGAATAACGCGCGCAAGAATGCAATATTGATAAAAAAAAAAAAAATGATGATATATAATTTGTTGGATACTCTTCACTCTTTATTGTATTCAATCATATTACTCTATATTATCATGATATTATTATTATGGAATATGAGAATAAATGTAGCAACATTGAAGCGGAAATCGGCTTTCTTGTTTCATTTTAAAACCCAAATTTAACAGATTTTCTAAAATACACAAAAATTTTGTATAGACATCAAGGAATTTTGTCCTCTTTTTATCATAATATAAAAGCAAAAATTATATTTCTATTCTTTTGAAGTAGCAAAATTAATGACATTTTTGGGCATTCGTTCTTGGTTGGCGAAAGAAAATTGTCTCATTTCGGCGAGAGGACTTTGTCGTCACCACCCACCCCTAACTAATATCCCTTTTTATTGCCACTAAATTGTGTGTCGTCTCGTGTCTGCACACCGGTAATTGCGTTCCATCTTCTTTTATCTTTTCCTCCGTTTCCGCCTCCCTGGACCCGACGAACGAGCTGAGCGACAGATCCTGCTGGGGGAGAGGAAGAAAGAAAGAAAGAAAGCGAAGAGAGCTGTCGTGCCACCGTAATAATGCGCGCCACTTAATTGCCCACGTCATTAAATTGGCCGCTGCAATTGCCACCCACCCCCTGCCGAGGACGCCCACTCTCCGCAGGGTTGACAAACTTTTGCCCTTTCCAAGCCGAATGTTTAGAATTGCCTTGTCTTATCTAAATTGCAGAAAATGCTTAAAAAAGTGGAAAGTCAGGCAAGAACTTTTAAAGACCCACTCCGGTCATTTGTATTTCTCTTTATTCTGAAAGATTGCTAAATTTCGAGTGTATCTTGTGAAAACACTATTTGAAAATTACAAACCGTTGCGTCTCATCTCAATCAAAAGAAAACCTAAATACGAGTGATTCGCGCGAAAAACATGTGAGAATTGAGAAGCCAATCAGATCCATCAGTTTGTTCAAAAAATTACAGAATTTGGTCACATTGGCGCTGCGATCGCTGATTTTGCCACTGATGCCCCATGGCGCTGCAGAAAACTTGGCAAAATCAGCGATCGCAGCGCCAATGTGACCAAATTCTGTAGTTTTTGGAACAAACTGATGAATCTGATTGGCTACTCAATTCTCACACGTTTTTCGCGCGAATCACTCATAATTAGGTTTTCTTTTGACTGAGACGCAACGGTTTGGAATTTTCAAATAGTGTTTTCAAAAGATATACCCGAAATTTAGCAATCTTTCAGAATAGAGAGCAATACACTTGACCGGAGGGGATCTTTAAAACAACTTAAATTTAAGTTTTATGTTAATTGCAATTTTTACATTTTTTTTATTATAACATAAACAATTATTAATATATTATCTTTTTATTGATTCGTATAATATTATTTAATTATTCACTTTTAAGAGACAATATCTTCTTGCGTGCCTTTTCAGATATTTAAAATAATATTGCTTTCTATGAACTTTTGCTATAAATTATTTCTGATTTTTTTTTCTTTTTTTATTTAATGCATCAACCTATCATCAATCATAACTATGGTAGTTGCGGAAACCATTTCCAATATACTGGAGTCACTTGTATGCTCAATTGATTAAATGATTACCAAAATATTACAAACTACATAATTCATAAGACCAAATTGTTTATAAAAAAAAACGTAGAAATACCATTCAAATAATGCAATTATTTTGTTTTGAAATTTCCCTTGGATAAATTCTTCGTGTAGACCTATCAAAGTAATAATAAAATGCAATTTAAGGTTATAATTTTCTTTAAATGGAAGCTTTTTTTATGAAGTATGAACAAAATCAACCACTTTTAGCACGACCTACTCAAGCGAAGGAGATGATCGGGCGCATAGAGAGAGAGAACTCCAGCTGCGACCAATTATTCGCGTCCTCTTCATTATTGTTAATTGCACCCCATATCCATGACCGAAAAGGGTGCCGTCGCGCTTCACATGCAGAAAATCCTAGGGCCGCGCGCTTCAATAATAAACAAAATAGGCGGCGAAGGGATTAGGCGGACGCGGCAATAATAAAAAGCGGCTGTGAGAGGAGAATGCGGATTAAGGCCGAAGAATGATTGGTAATCACGTTAGGAGGGAAAGGAAAAGTTTTCGCCTCGCTGACTTTGATGTAACATGCAGCGGTGGGTGTTGAGTCTTTTGCAGCTGTGAATTTCATTTTGATTCTCGCCTCACAAAAACACTGCATGCAGGCGCGCGGGAAAAAAGAACACTCCATCACGTGTTGCCATAGACACGCACGATGTACTTCATCCCCCAGCAGCGAACCACCCCCGATCTATATCTAGCGGCGAGCTCATTACCTTGCTGTAATTGAGAGAGCGCCGGAGAGTTTGATGACAGAGCAAGCGGTTAACTCGCGAGTGATTGCTTCTGATTAGGGGTGTGCTCGATATTCACCTGCTGATGAGCGCCAGTCACTGAGCCAGGCCAGATTTTATCCAGCCAGGCAGTTCAATACATTTTTTTTATTCATAACTTTTACTATTTGTTTGATGGTCGAAATTGTTGCAAAAAACTTTTTTTTAGGGTCTGGCCAAGACAAGGTCTTGTCGGCCTGTGCCCTTTTTAGTGGCGCAGAAGGCGCCACTCAATGTTTTTTTTTTTTTTTTTTTTTTTTTTTTTTGGGTCTGTCTATTATTTATGATTGTTTATAATTTATTATTGAGAGACAGAGAAATACATTCATTTGGAAGGAAAACATTAAATTTGATAGTATAGCTGACATTATTGTTAATTCAACTATGTCATTTTAGGGTCAACCAGCAATAGTTTGATCTTTCATTAAAAAAAAATAAGGAAGACCTAACAAGGTATGCTATCAAGATGACATACCCCGATTTTGATGAAAATTGGTGTAAAACTTCCACTACCCATTGGTACCCCAGAACGGCCATTAATTTTTTGCCATTTAAACTCCATGTAATTTTAATTACATTGGAGAAATCAGATGTAGGCAACATATATAACAGAGAAAGCTTTTTTTTTGCCTACATTTGATCGTTTTTAACAAGCGTTTTAATGAAAACTATCCTCCCTTGTGAAATTGGGCAACTTTTGATAGCCATTTCAGAACACTCAAGGGTTACATACCAACTTTCAATAAAATCGGCGTGTGTCATCTCAATAGCTTACCTTGTAAGCCGCAATTTAGCAAAAAGCACCATTTACAATCATTCCATTTCTTTTAAAAAGTATGTCTCACAAAAGTATTTAAAGCTTTATTATTTTTTTTTCCAGTTTTGCAAAATTTATAGAATGAAAGCGTCTAAATTAAGAGTATTTCAATTTTATTTTCGTTCCAATATTTATGCCGTCACTGATTTTCAAAGACAAGGCACTCCTCTTTTCTTTAATTGAAAAGTTAATTACTGAAACAATTTGCCTGAAGTTTGTAGCTAACGATATTTACAAACTGATTACAGAGTGAAAATAATTAAATTTTTCAAAACGTATGAGTGAAAAGAACATTTTCAAACCTCAAAGTATTTTGGTGAAAAAAGGTCCATTAAGATCTTTTTGGTTAAAATCCTAGTAACAAAAATCATTAAAATCTACAAAATTTATAATAAATAAAAGTCTGGTAAAAAATTTTACACCATTTTATTTAAGATTTTTATTTAATATAATATTGTTACTCTTTTTCCATTTTATTAAATAAATTAATTTTAAAAAAAATTAATAATAATTATAAGTAATCTGGTTGGTTTACGTTATATGAAAAAACTTTAAGAAAGCTGCAAAATATTGCGCATCAATGTTATTTCAGGTATTTATATAAATTTGATCCCATGACTACTCTGACTATTGATTTTGAGTAATATCAGACTAACTTTAGCCTCAACCCGTTTGGACTAATTAGAAAATATTATGATTTGATACTATAATTTCTAAAAAATCACCTGAACCTAGAATCGAAAATAGTTAATTTGGTAGTTGAAAAAATCATTCCAAAATAAAAAGAATCGTTTGTAATGGTGAATGAAATTTAAAAACAGAAAGAAACAAGCCCCAAACGATGAAATTCATATTCATCGTTGGTATTAGTGTTGATGTTGTGGTGTCATCTATGATCGCGCGCACTTGACTCGCTCATTTATAAAACTAATGCATCGTGCCACAGATATGAGGGCTCGCTTTAATTTATTATTATTTATAGCGCGAGTGTCACACGCGAAGAGATGATGCTAACGTCGTGTCTGTGCGAACACGAAAGAGAGGGAACTAATTCGATTTGTATGTAAATTTGCATCGGGCGATGAATGAAAAGCGCCGAGCTTCGGATAGCACATTGTTTGATGATTTGTTTTGCATGCTGATGACGCGAGACGATAATTCGGCATTATATATTATTTTCTCTCTCGCGCGCGCATTCTAGAGTAATTCAATTTGCGTAGAGAGCGCCAGCCGGGCTTTTAGCTTTTGCCGCCGTACATGACGAGAGATGAGAACGAGAGTGGGAATTGTTGAAGTCGAGTGTGTGAGTGACAGATGAGAGATAAACATCTCGTCAAAGTTGAGGGATGAATTCGGATTTTCTTATCTCTTCACCAGAGCAGTAAATAGCGGGAATTTCACCTCCAATATGATTATTTATATCAACCTCGACTATGAATATTTTAATTCCAATTTTTTCTTTTTTTAATTATTTAGGCTCGTGTTTTTTAGTCGATCAACTTTTTTTCTACATCGCTCGGAACGAATCAAGTGATTTTATTATGGTTAGCACCTTTATTTAAAACCGACTAAAGCAGACTAAAATGACAGACTTTTTCAACTTATTAAGCAAAAATAGGTTTTTCCACACTTTGAAACAAAATTTCCGCAAAATTTTACAAAAATTTTTTGAAAAGTTAAATTTAAAAAACTTATTTATCAAACAGATTTTATTTCAAGCGACTGACATTAGCACTAAATATAGCTATTTTTCATCTTCAATTACAAAAAAGGAAGAAAATATGTGATGGATGAAAAATTCATAATTTTTCAATAG